GTAAANCAAACACTACCGAGGAACAAGAAAAGCAACCTAGAGAAGAAATCTCATCTGACGATNGCGGNGATGAAGAAGAAGATTCTGTGGTAGAAGAAGCTTATCCACGTCCGATATTTAATAAATCAAGGTTTCAAGAGAAGTGTCCATAGCTTTTGTTGTGACATGTTAAATCTGAAAACTCTGTTTGCAACATATGAGTTTCTTTCTTTTCCTTTCGTTTTCAACAATGGAGGAATATATGGGGAAAAGAAATGGACCAGTTTGTGTATGTACGCAGCAAAAGATGAAGTAATGGATTTTTTTAGGAGTTAATTGGCTAGATATCAAAGTGATCGAATTTCAGTGTTGTTTGCTGGTCAATGAAATAATTTTGTTATTTCTGTACTTTTTTTTTTATGTATTTCATTAGCTTGGATCAGGTTTTTGGCTAATATAATAAGAAGAGAGAAAGAAAGTTGAGAATGGTTTCAAGCATAAAAGAAACTAGCTTTTGAGTGGCCAAACAAAAAAAAAATCTAGCTTTTGCATAGATTAGTTTTTTTAATGAAAAACATATTTTATAACAAAAAAGTGTCTTAAAACTAAAACGATGTGCGAAGTGGTACACAGTTTTGAAAAGAGAAGCTCAGTTTGGTGAAATCGCTGCGATTCTCCTTCTCCTTGTCCAGGCATGGAAGATTCTCATCTTCATCAATCTATCGCCGGTGCCTCCTCAGGTCTTCTCTCCTCTTTCTCTAGAATCCTGAAATTCGAACACTGTTTCATTAGTGTGTTTAGATCTTCCCCTAAATCTCTCCGTGATTTCATATTATCTTCTGATCGGAAATTCTGTTTCCAATGATTTCGCAGTCACAGATTTGATTCTGTGGAAGAATCGACGTCGAGGGTTTCTTCTGCTTGGATCAGCGACGTTGTTATGGTTTCTCTTTGAGAGATGTGGATATAGTTTCTTCCCTTTTGTTGCCGATACTCAGCTACTTGTCGTCGTTATACTCTTCCTCTGGGCCAAATCTGCTATTCTTTTCAATAGGTAATCTAATCTAAATCTATTTGTTTCTGGAATGTAGCGTGAAGAATGTCACAATTTTACATCGTTTTGTAGATAAGATATGGTTATAGCTTGTTTGTATATATGAGCTAAAGTGCCAAATACTAGTAGGTGGAAAAGCTTTTGTATTACTACTCACTCTCTTTTTATCCCTCGAGCAGGCCTATGCCTCAACTTCCTAATTTTGAAATCAATGAGGCATCTGTTCTTGTGGTGGCTAACGCTATACGAGTCTGGATTAATACTGTGCTCTCCGTTGCTCGTGAAATTTACCTCGGTAGAAATGCTAAGCAACTCTTTCGGGTCAGCATGTTTTCCTTTCGGTTTTCTTTTTCGAAATAAGATTTTTAGAGTGTAGAAGCAAGTAGACTTGCACTCTGACTGAGTATTGAAGTATTGCTATTGCTATGGCAGGTCAGTGTTGTGTTGTGGACAGTATCATTTGTTGGCAATCTCTTAAACTTCCTCACAATACTCTATCTTGGTGAGTAGTTTTTATTATCCATTGTCCTTCACATTGTTTATAACTGATAACATCTAAAGAGTGTCTACAGACTTATCAACTCGATTTTATTGACTTTCTTCGCCGCGTGATTGTAATGGACAGGTGTTGTTCTTAGTCTGACGATCCCCATTCTGTACGAGAGATACCAGGATCACATTGATGATAAGCTTTCTTTAACACATCGAATCATTCAAACACAATACAGGAAGATTGACGAAAGATTATTACAGAAGATTATTGCTAAGCCCACTAATAAGATAAAGAAGATGCAATAAGTAAGCATACTGACCCTTTTTCTAAAAACCATTTTATCAGCTAGCCCTTTGATAAGTTGTTGCATCTCAACACGACATTTTTCATTTGATAAGGTTTTCTCGTGAATTCTAGTGTTGGAGTATTGTACCTAGTCTAGGGATGGTGCCGTCAATTGTAGTTTTTTTTGGCTAATCAACAGACCTTACGTAGGTTTGTTGTGAGTTAAAGGTTTAGTTCTTTGGTGAAATCAATAAAGGAAGTTTGCCGGTTCCAATCTTATCAGCTAATATAATACAAAACCATGACTTATCGACGTTATATGCTTTAGATGTGAAGTAGATTAGATACACATCAGTGGTATGGTATTGCATGATCTGTGCTGATCAGTTGCATATTTTATTTTATTTTTGGTATGAATGTTAAGATTTATACCAATCAGTTGCATATTTGTTTCTTTGAATATATCACGGCGAATTGATTGATAACTCTCATTCAGTACTTCATACATCAATACTAATTAATTTATTGGCACTCTTTTTTGTTGTATGCAGTAAAGAAACAAGACAGAATATGACCGAATGGGTCGAATTGGGTAAAACTAAGCTGCAACTAAGCGATTTTAGAAGCTAAGTGTGGATGAATAGAGAAGAGTTTGAGACTTGAGAGCTTTGTTTCACAAGCCGTAATATGGTTTTTGTCACTCGATTCAGCAGCCCTTTTGATTCTCTTTATAGTCAAAAATTGATACTTGCAAGTGATTTGGGGTAACATTGATTTTATACCAAAAAAAATTGTTCAATTCTGTTTATTTTTCTTTTTCTTCTTGTAGCTTAGTGTAAAAAACAAAGGGTGTGATTGATTAACATCCATAGAGGAAAAGAAATGAGAAGAAAAAACAATTCTTCTTCACTTATACCAATCAAGAAAATTTGAGAAGAAAAATTTTTATACTAAAAAGGTTAAAAAGTAACTAAAAAAGAAGAATTATTTCCTCTTTAAAAACAAGGTAGATGTTATAAACCCAATTAGTAGATGCTCATTAGAAACTCATCTTCTAAAATGTTCTAACTTGTTCTCCAAGTTCAACTTCATCTCCAAGTTATTACTCTTCCCCAAGTTATTGTATCATATATATACATTTGTTCTCTATGGAATAACACACAAATTCCTCTCTCTTTCTCTCTATTTTTTCTCTCATTCATAACACGTTATCAGCACGATAGATCTAGCTAACTGAGAAAACCCTAGTCGAGTTCTCTCCTTATTTCTTGTCTATCTCTCATCCGATCCAAAAATCAAGGTATATGAGTTAACATTATAATTCGGTTGATAACATACAAATAATGTATGTCTGTTGATCGAATAATAATCATGACACATTCTTACGTATATTAATTATTTGATTTATTGCTTTGATAAAATATTTTGATGCAATCTGTTTCATCGTTTTCAATTACTGTATGTTTCTTCTGTTTTGTTTTTATTATGAGTTGACTTGCATCTTAATTGAAACTTTGATNTGCGGCTTCTNTGAATCTAATAATACTAGTNGTTCATGCATCATTATAATATAATCTGAAATCACATATTTTATTATTTGATTCGATCTACTGTTAATCATGCATTCTCGCCTAATCTTATAGTATTTTAATATTGATCGTTCATGCATCATTATAATAAATCTTGCCAACACATCATATAGTATAATTCGATTTAATTGAATTGAATGTTCTGCTAATTAAAATCTGAATATTATCTATCACTTTGATATTAAATCTCAATATTGATTTTAACTCACGACATCTTATGCATATTAATTATTAATTGCTTTGATAAAACACTTTGATCTGTTTCATCGTTTCTTCTGTTTTATTTTGTATAAGATGATTTTATTTTTGCTAGTTAAAACTTTGATACCTCACATGTCTGCTTAGCTATTGTTCATTAAATTATAATCACGTTTCCTTCTTTATAAATTATAGCTTCACTTTGATGTTTATGACGTTTAATAATATTGGCCAATTGATTTTACAGAGAGTCAATTGTTTTAATTGATTTGTCATATGCTTCTGTTTTATATGAACTGACTGCTAATTAAAATATTATCTATTGCTTTGATGAAAACATTCAATCGAATNTGGTTTTACTTTATTGTACANTTCTTTATTTAATCAACTATATATATGANATTTGTGAATTGATGGCACACTGGTGATTCGATGACGTACTTGTGTACATCCGTCGATCCAGTAACGCTTACATATTAGACTTGCACATATTGTTTATTTTATGGCTGTTTGATTTATTCGATTTTGTACTGAAC